AAAAAAAAAAAAGAAAGAAAAAACGAGAAAAATTTAAATATTGTGAAGCTTGGATAATTGGTTGTTGTCGTTGTCTCAGGTGTTTGCAGTAACGCGACAGCACCATCGGTAAGCAGTATAAATCGAATTTTACGAAACCGTGCTGCGGAAAGAGCAGCAGCGGAATTTGCGAGAGCAGCTGGTTACGGATTGTACGCGGCCGGGCCGCATCCGTATTTTAATACAGCTGCCCATCAGCATCCAACTACGAGCCATCATCTTCCTGGTGGATGGCCAGCACCGGGAGCACCTGGTCATCCTTGGATGTTACCACCCTTGGCCACTGGTATTTCGGGGGCTGCTTCGGCATTACTTTTACCACCGTCCTTGAGTCCTGGGGCTGCTGCTGCTGCAGCTGCGGCCGCATCCGCTTCCGCTGCTGGTACTGCCGATCATGCTTTGCACGCTGCCGACGCCATTGCCAGAGGATACTTACAAGGTCATTATTCATTTTGCGAAAATGCATCTAATCTAATACCTCATTTTTTGTTTTTTTTCTATCATTATTTCTTTTTTTAGATTTAAAGATCACAATTTCATTTTTATCTAACAAATTATAAGACGTGTGAAGTTTTTACACGCGCGTTCGTGTCGATAATTAGTTTTTGTTTAACCCTTTGAGTGCTATGAACGCATATATGCGTTTGGTAAAAATTGATACGCTTGTGTTTATCAATGTGAATGTAAAATAATGTAATATTTTTCTTGTATCTTGTCAGATGGAAACATAAATTGTAATTATTAAATATAATTTAATTAATATTATAGTATCTGGTCACATTAATAATAAATTATTTCATTCGTAGAAAACACTCTCTTCAGTTAAAAGTATTCAGCATTCAAAGGGTTAAAGATTGCGTCAACTTCGGAAACGAGAATTCGTTTTTGTTTAACATTACCGCGTGTTCTTTTTTTTTTTTGTTCTATAACCACGAAAATACGCGTGAAATCACAATGTTTGAAATGATGTAAAATGAGATGTAGGAAATGACAAAAGTGTATTTTCGTTTTTCTTAATCGCGTTTTTAACACTTTCGCGCGTTGTTATCTTTATCTTTTTGGATGAAAATTTTACGGGTTAATAATCGTAGGTATCGCAAGTTGAACACACAAACACACATACATACACGTGCAATGATAGAGAGACAAAAGATACGCGATGAACAACGCGAATTCGTGTTCTCGTTCTCGCAGCTGCAGTCAACTTGCATAAACATTCGTGAAATTTCTTTTTGTGTTTAGACGGATACGCGATTGCTATCATTATTCATTATCAATCGATTCCGCTCGAATAAGATCGTTGAATTGGTTTTTGCAAAATTTTCAATAAAATCGGAAGAAAAAAGAAAAACAATATTTTCGAGGAAATAATGTCGTTTTTTTTGTAGAAGAAGAAGAAGAAAAAAAGAGAGAGAGGAGAAGAGAAAGAAAAAAAGGAATCGTTTGTCTGGAAATGAAAATAAAAATATTTGCGATTAAGAGAGAATATTTTTTCAGGATTCGCGTATACACACACAATCGACAAATTGTTGAAAAATAATTGATAATTTATTCGCGAATAATAAATATATTCGTATAATATACGAGCGTCGTTTTGTTCTCGTTTCGTATTTGTCTTTCGATGAAGAATATTATTTATAAAAAAAAAAAAATAAAATAAAATAGAATCTTCAACGAAAAAAGAAAGAAAGGAAGAATCGTCGATCGAAAAATGTTGTTCATGAAAATAAACGAAAATAACGTTGAAATAATTGTGTTGTGTGTGTGTGTGTACGAGAAAAATATAAATTAGATAAATATTTATTCGAATAATAATAATAATAATAACAATTTTGGTAATAAAATTAGACATGGTTTTTTGATTGTTATATTAACAGCAGACGGTGACGGTGACGATGGAAGTTTGGATGGTTCCGAGCAACCAAAATTCCGAAGAAATCGCACCACCTTCAGTCCGGAACAACTCGAGGAACTTGAAAAGGAATTCGAGAGGTCGCACTACCCTTGCGTTTCGACTCGCGAACGGTTGGCATCGAAGACCTCCCTTTCGGAGGCACGCGTACAGGTGAGAATACAAAATTCATTTTTATTTTTAATCTAACGACGAAAAAAAAAAAAAGAAACAAAGTTGTCTTTTTTACGTAGAGACGGGAACGAACGAACGAACATAATATACGGGGAGCAAACCAGTTTCCAAATTAATTCCAAATAAATTTTCGTCTCTGCGTTAAATAAACCAAAAAAAAAAAGAAACACAAAACAAAGTATTTCTAAAAGAAGTGTCAAAATGGAGACGACAATAAATTAACACGTTGATCGTTGACAATTAATCGTGATCGATTAACGCAACGTCTTACCGTAATACTTTTCGGTTTTCGTATTTAAACAATGGTGTTTGTCAGATTTGTTACGGTCAATGTGTTAAAGTTAAAAAAAAAAAACTGATGTGTGTATTTATGTACGCACGTAAGAAGTTATATTTCTTTAACGTACCAAAACGAACAATAACCTCAATAAACCTCAAAAAAATAACTTCAATTATCTCTATAGTACCAATATAAAATACTCTACATTTGTCGAAAATACGATAATAATATTATAAAATAAAAAATGAAGATATTAAATACCATTGATAAAGGTTTTTAATTAATATATATACAATCTAATTTAATTATTTACGAAATTATCTTCATGCCGGTAAATTTGAAATCCCTTTTTGCCCGCGCATCGTAAATATCGACAAACAATTTCTCGTGGTGTCGATTTTTCGGTCGCATTTAACTTCACATTCCAAAACGCGTAGCGAAAAGAAGTATAACTTCAAAAAAAAAAAAAAACAAAGCGAAGAAAGTATATAAAGGAGCCATCTAACGAACCTAACTCGTGACTCTTAGGTTTGGTTTTCCAACAGACGGGCAAAGTGGCGTCGTCATCAGCGAATGAACCTTTTAAAGCGTTCGCCACCACCGCCGCCGCCGCCGCCGCCACCGCAGCCGCAGCCGCAACCGCGGCCGCAATCCGCATCCAGCATGGAAATTGGCCGTACATCGGTTTGCTCAATCGGAGGAATGGGAGGCGAAAGTAGCGCGTTTCGTGCTGTCGTAACAACAACTTCTTGTTCCCAATCATCGAGGGAATCCAACGATAGGATCAATAGGCTTGAATCAATTTCAAAACACCAACAACAACACCAACAACACCAACACCATCAACAACAACCGGAAAAGAAACCAAGTGCATTCCGTATGATCAGCCAATTGGTGGGGGAAGATTCGCGTTCTAATTTGTCGCGTACAACCAGTCCCAATTACGATAATCAACAAAGGTCTGGTCATGGGCCTGGTGGACCTGGTTCCGGTCAAAGAATAGAATACGAAACTGTGGAGGACGATGAAGACGAGGACGAAGAAATCGACGTTCAAGATTCCGATCAGGATATACCATCTTCACCGCCGGTCGCGTGGAGAGATCATTGGACCGATCAACAACCCCTAGAATTGACCAAACACGATCGTTGAATTATTTATAATATGGGGGAAAATATGTGTGTGTGTCTGTGTGTATGTGTGTGTGTGTGTTTGTTGAAGAATAAGATAGAACATTATTATTTATCCGTTCGGTTTTTATTAACGAGACATTTATTTTTCTTTCATTCATTCATTCATTCCAAAATGATTTTCGTCATTTTTTCCCCCACCTGCAATCCTCCCCCTACTCCACCCTACCCCATTATGTGTATTCAAACTTATTGTGGGGTTTGGTGTCGTTGTCAGTGAAAAGGATTATCAAACAAGGACTCGTAACTGGAATGAATTGTGTGTTATCAGTTTTGTTTTTCTTTAAGGATTCCTAAAAGAAGAAAAGAGAAGAAATCTTGGACGATATTTTGTTGTGTGTGGTTTGTTTTTTAATTCTTATATTGGGGCGGTGAGGGAGAGGAGAGGGGGACTGGGGGAAGAGGAACAAATTTGGATTGGAATGATTGGAGTTGTCGAGTGACCGATGTAATATGACTAGTTGCATTTAAACTTGATACCTCTTATCTATTTAACCTAATGTCTCTAGTACCTATGCAGCTACTTATTACGATTACGATTAACAAATTAAGTGCTACGAGTATCTCATCGCTGTGTAATTATTAATAACAAAAAATGCAATATCATCGGTGTCCCTTGTAACGTTATTATCGATTAGGACTATTTATCGAGGATTGTAATTCGATTGGAAATCGTCGAGAGTTTCTTTATTTTATTCTTTTTTTTATTTTTTCTTTAAATTCATTTTTATTAGTCGTCATGGAAATGCTTAGTTGATTGAATAATAAGGAAAAGGTGTACGAAAACGTAAGTAAAAAAAGAAAAGAATTGAAAGAAAGATAAAAAGAAATGGGAGGACAAGTCCGAGTCTAGTTCTCGTTAAATTAGAAAAAAAAAAAAGAATGTAACTTTTTTTCGAAGGAAGAAAAAGAAAGGGAATACACGTGTGGGGTGTCTCCGTTATAGTCTTACGGTGATCGTTTAAAGAACACAGGAAAATGAAACTGTAACACAGTTAGGATATCCTTTTATTTAAAAAAAAAAAAAAAAACGAAAAAAAAGCAGAAAAAAAGAAAAAACGAAACAAAACTTTCTTTCGAACATCGTTTGTAAATATTCACACGATACATAAAACAGTTCTTAAAGTAATCTTTACGAAATTATGACACACGATTTATTCCATGGTGTCTTTACCATACACCAATCGTTCCTTACAACAATTCCTTAAAAAAATTTTCCTGCAATAATGAATATTTCTATCATCGAACCAACAATCTTTCTTGTCCATATTTGATTTTATTTCAGAGGATGCGTATCATCTCACGACCTTCTATTTGGAGTATATTCAAATAATTCGCAAGTATAATATATGTGTATAAAAAAAAGAATCATTTCCGCATCAACGAAAAAAGAAGAATTAATTGAGAACGAGTTGTTGTTTCATCGGCAGAAAACGCGTAAGAAAATTAAATAAAAAAAAAAAAAAAAAAAAAAAAAAAAAAACAAAGTATGTACGTGCGAGAGAAGAAACGAATTAAATCATAATATAAGTATATAATATAAATTTGAGAAAGATAGAACAAACAAAATCGATTAAGTTGTTTGACGATTAATCGAGAAAGAATTGATTCGGTAGTAGTTTTTTGGTTCTTATCGTTTGTCAGTCAGGTTTTTTGTTTTTGGAGGAGCGGCGGGGGAGAAGGGAGGGGGGGGTGGTGATGGTAGTGTTGAATATCTCGTAGCAACTTTGAATATCTTTTTTGGAATATATTTTATTCTTTTTTTTGTGCACACACAACACACACACACACACACATTTTTTCCTTTCTTTATTCACTTTGTTTGAAGAAAGAGAAAGAGAAAGAAAAAGAGAGAGAGAGAGAGAGAGAGAGAGAACGAAGAAGGTGTTAAAAAAAGGGAATACGCGAGTCCGGGAAAAGAAGGGTTCTCTCTCATCGACGATTAACTCGAATCTACGGTTTCGTCGGGCTCGCAAATAAGGAATCTGCTTTGGAAGAACTGGTTTTCTTGGCGACACACCGTCGACGAATCCTGGCAGCAAAAGGAGTTTTAAAAGAGAAAGAAAGAAAGAAAGTAGAGGCAACGAAAACACCGGATCCACCAGCATTTCGGATATCGTGCTTCCCGTCAACGGTTAGCGCGACCACCAAATTTATGGCCATGCTTCTTTCTCGTGCTGGATCCTGGATATGCTCTGCGTTCGGTAGGACAACGAGGATGAGGACGAGGACGAGGACGAGGACTCTCGGATAGCCTCAAGTGAGACAGAAACTTAAAGAAAAAGAGAAAACAGAAGGAGCTGGTCCAAGACGGAAATAGCGAGTTTTGCTTCAGCAATATAAAAAAGAAAAAAAAAGGAACATAGAAAGAGTGTGTGTGAGTGAGAGAGAGAGAGAGAGAGGGATGGAAAAGAGATCGGCAGCATTGTAATGCGAACAAACTTGCCAAAGGCATTAACACCCGGTGATGGTGGTGGTGGGTGAACGCTCGGCACTCCTACCATAAGCTAGCTGTTGGAAAGAGAAAGAAATGTATTGGGGTAGAGAAGGGGGAGTTCAGTGAAGTAGGAGTCGAAGGAAGAGGAGGAGGAGGGTGAGTTGTCTTGTGAAGTTAAAGAGAGAAAGAGATGAGGTGGATGGTCGGACAGATTCAGGCAGTCAGCCAGGAGGAACGAGAACGTAACAATTACTATCTGAGACCGATCGGTGCAGTAAGATTAACGATCTTACTCTTACCGAGGCACGTCTTGCACGTCTCTCTCTTTCTCTCTCTCTCTCTCTCTCTTTCTCTTTCTTGGCTACGATTGCTCATGGGGGAAAGAAGCGAGAAGGTAGGACGTTAAAGTCACCTCTTTTCTTTTCTGTTTTTTTTATTTTTCTTATTCCTCTTGTTCTTGTTGTTCTTGTTGTTCTTGTTCTTCTTCTTCTTCTTCTTCTTTTGGCTCAATGAGATATTGCTTCTTGGGGTGAGGATAGGTGAAGGGAGGGGGGAGGGGGAGGATGGTTGCTCACCTTTCCTTTCAGCGGTAAATCGCGATCGCGTTGAAAAGCTTCCTCTTTTTTTTCTCCTCTCTATCTTATTTTTCGTGTATTTTCATAGAGATTTGATTTGTTTCTTACTTTCCGAGATATAAGAATCTCTTCGGCTATTTAGCGGAATCACAAAAAAAAATTCTAAAAAGAAAAAGAAAAGAATGAAGCAAAAGAAAGAAAGAAAGAAAAGGGTTAAGTAATTATTTTATGCAGAATTATTTTATGAGATTTGATTTCTTTCTTACTTACGAGATACAAGAAGAACTATTTGGCTATCTAGCGGAATTACGAAAAAATCCTAAAAAAGAAAAAGAAAAGAATGAAGCAAAAGAAAGAAAAAAGAAAGAAAAGGGTTAAATAGTTATTTTCTACAGAATAACATTTTCATTGAGATTTGATTTCATCCATACCTACGAGATACAATAAGAAGAACTGCTCTCAGCTATCTAGCGGAATCACGAACAAAATCCTACAAGAAAAAAAGAAAGAAAAAGAAAAGAATGAAGCAAAAGAGAGAGGAGAAAAAAAAAAGAACGAAAGAAAGAAAGAAAAGGGTTAAGTAGTTTAATGGATTTTCCAGTTGGAATCGTGGAAAGATAATTTCGTTCGGGTGCAAACCCGAGCTCGCGAGATCTTGGTCTTCGAGGCCGATCAAGCGCCGTCGCAAATTTGTCCTCGGACAGAAGCGTCTTTATCTTTCTTTCTTTCTTTCTTTCTTTCTTTCTCCTTCTCGTTCTCATTCTCGTTTGAAAGAAGATCTTCTCCACGAATGTGCCTCGAAAGAAGAAGCAGAAGCAGAAACAGAAGAAGAAGAAGGAAGAAAGAAAGAAAGATTCGGTGAGGGTTCCTATGGTCCCCGGCAATAATACGCGAGAAATCGTAAATTAGTGGAGTGGTCCTCCTCAGTAAGAGGACCACGTGAAAGAGAGAAAAGGAGTGCCCGATGATTTCTCGCCCAATTAGAGTCGACCGGGCTATAAACTTCTTCGCGGATAAGATAGGACCCCTGGTTTCTGTGTTCCGTTTGTAGTCAGAGTGGGACTTGATAATGTCCTGTGCCTCAGCCCGGAAGCCTTCCAGGTCGCATATAGACCTGAGAATCCTAACTGAGACAAGGAAGGAAAGAGAAAGAGTACCAGTCAGATATCCAATAAGAGAGAGAGAGAGAGAGAGGGAAAATTGGAGGAAAGGGTTAAAGATAGAAAGAGAGAGAGTACCTGAGCATTGGGACGGAGCTAATTGGCTCGTCTACTGCCCATTGAAATCGCCGTCCTGGTATCAGTTTCGATCCATGGGGGACACATATACGGTGCCAACGTTTCAGGTCGATCAATTAAACGGAAATGGCTAAGAGATATCCACGAAGAAACAGACGTTCTCGCACGTTTCCACACTATTTCTTTCTCTCTCTTTCTCTTTCTTTCTTTCTTTCTTTCTTTCTGGGATTAATCCGTGCAACGTGTAAGCACGAATGGTAAAATAAGAGTCCCACTATACTACTCGTCGTCATCGTTCATTGGACCCTGAACGATACGACCGACCTTTCCCTTCGAATGAATTCCCCATCCTAAATGAAATCACGGTACGATTATTATCTATGTGATAGAACGCGAAAGTGAACATATTATTTCAAACGTTTTGCGATTATTTTTATTAACTTTTTTTCCTTCTTCTTTTTTTTTCTTTTTTTTGTATATTATATTAAAAACACGATGGATTTGATTAATTCCTAAGAAAGAATTTATGGAGAATGTTTGGCTTTATGATATTTTTTCGAATAATTTTTATATCATTTTTGTTATGCTAGAATAATGTATATTCGTTCGTTTAGAAATTTATAAATAGTAGAGATAGAATATATATATATTCTTATACTGCTTTTTAAGAAATCATTTATATTCCGGTATGTGTTTATAAGAAGAACTTTGC